TATATATATATATATATATATAAACATTGATTTTAAAATCAAATAGCTATAAATTAATTTCACTTACTTATAAATTATAATCATTCTAATATTACAAAGATATAACAAAGATTCCATTAATTTAAATATTAAACATTAGATATATATGATAGGTCAAATTTTTTCATGTAAAGAATCCTTAAAAATATGGCATTTGGTGCTTTATGCTATTAATTACTAGTTTCTAGTGATTGACAATTTAACCAAAAAAAGTGTAATCAGTATCAATTATCTTGTTATGTCAGTCATTAGTATACTTAAATGTTTTAAATTTGTTTAAAAAAAATTCGAATATTAAAATTAAATTTGGACCTAATAATTACACTATCTACCAACTTTGTAAAAACTAACGTTTATGATTATTTTGTTATACTCCACAATATTATTATAAAATTTGTTAAGTTAATTTAATGAAACCAAATTAGGGTAATATTAATTGCAATATATATAAGAATGTATAAATGCTTCTAAATTAATTTGAAGACAACACAAAGATAAAGCAAAGCAAATATACATAAAGTATTAATGAAAGGGGAATCCTTTTGTAATTATAAAAATGGAACAGATATATATATGTTTAAGAGAAGAATTCTTATCAGCTGCACAATATCACATTAATAAAAATACATTGAATACATTTAAGGAATATTATATGCAATATATAGATTCAAATCGCAAATTAAGTCAGATTAAAGATTTAACGACATTAGTGAAAATATTAGAAAAACGTGATATTTTAAGCTGTTATAATGTGAAACCACTTTTACATATTTCAAATTATTTTTCAAATGAGTCTTTACAGAGCAAAATAAAGGACTATAATATTTATGTTAAAAATATATCATATTCTTTGTTTTGTAATATGTATCAAAAAACAAATGGTAAGTCAACATTTATTATTTTTTTCTATTTTTTAAACTTTTGATAATGTATTTTTAATTATGATAAATAATTATTAAATAACAGAAAATATAAATAAGGACAAATGTGAAATATCAAATACAACTGAAAATAGTTCATTACAAACAACATCTAACAAGCATGAAAATGAATTTACGTTACAATACGAAGATCAAAAAAAGAATGTTCGTACACAAGAAATTATGTTACAACAAACGTGTAAGAGCAATTTATTTTATTGAATACATACATTATTATTAATGTAATATCCATAAAATTAAAATGAAAAATATTTTCCAAGTATTATCGCACTTAAGTGAAAGAATTGGTCGTTCTTGGAGAGATACTGTTAGACATTTAGATATACCTGAATACCAAATTGATATTATTGAAAACAAATATCCTTTTAATTTAAAAGAGCAGAGCTATGAAGTAAGATGTAATTATAACATGGATTTATTTTATACAAACATTGTTACATAAAAATAACATAAATCATTTTTAGGCTTTGAAATTATATATGACCCAATATAATAACAATAATTGGAAAATAAATTTAATAAATGCTTTAGAGAAAGCAAGACGTAGAGATCTGAAGGAACTTGTTGAGAAACTAATATTAGAAAATTAAAATTAAATGATTAATAATTTAAGGGAAATTGAAAATAAAAAAATAACATGCATAAAAAGTAACTTATGTTTTTAATATATTTGTAAGAAAAACTTAGACATAATCATTTTTCAAATAATTATGAAAACATTATTAAATATTACTATACTACCTTAAAGTGAAATAGGTTGCTGTATTTTGATTCACCATTTAGAAATGACAACCTAATATATAGGTTTTTTTCAAAAAGATCTTTTATAGCAGTTTTTATTCACATAGTATAAATAATACAGAAAAATTGCTCAATCAAAAGTTATAATAGTAATTGTAAATGTGTTGTATTTAAAAAAAAAAATACAGCAACCTGTATTTATACGTTTTATAATCTATTTTTAAATTATATATTATAGTGATATAAATTTTATACATATTAACTGTTGTTCAGTGATTTTACTAAGAAAATATATAGTTACGATAAAAATTTAGATTTTAAAGATTTTTCATTAAATTTTTGTTTAATTTATTTGATTTTGTAATCTAAATTTTGAGTAATATCCATATTAATAATGTATATGTGATATTAGTTGAAAAAATTTTAATGAATAATGATAGTAACATAAGTTTAATAGGATTTAAACAATATAGGCATTCTTTGTTTGACTTCCTACTTTGACCATAACATCTTTATGTATTTGGTAGCCTATAGTAACTTTTGATGAAATTTTTAATCTTTCTCTTAATTTGCGTCTGTAGAAAAAAACAATGAAATAATTAGTTTATGTGTAAATAAATTTTTTCACAGAAATATATGTTATTATTTACCCGATTTCCATAACACTCTCTTCACTATTGGCATTTGCAGTCCATACACCAAGTTTATCTCCTTTTGTCCTTATATTTACAACAGCCCCACAAATATCATCAGAATATTCATTAAATGCTTCACCAATCATACATAAAAGAATTTCTAACCAAAAATGATCTAAATCTGTATTTCTTTGCTTTTTTTCTAAGTTTATAAGCCACCTTCCGCCACATTTATTTGCATCATCTTCCCACATAGGTCTGATTCCTTCTTTGAACATACTATAGTCACAACCTTGTCTTAATTCTGATGCTGCCTTTATGTGATTGTATAAACTGTCATCAAAATACAAGTATTATTAATAAAAAAAAAAAACTATAAAAATAATGCTATAAGAATAAAGCTATATAAATTTCAAAAGAAGATTTTTACCTCCAGAAATCTTCAGCTGTATCAAAGCTCGTGATTTTTCTTTGACTCTCTTCCCATGTTTTATTTCTGTCTGGTTCATAATACCAAAGGGTCCAAGTATGTTGAAGTGGATGTTTAATTAAAACCTCTGGCGGGAATTCATCAAAGTTTACTACTTCTTGCTCCTTCCTCTCAACTTCCTGCAAATGATTAATTTCACACACAGACTTTTTAATCCCAGTGAGATATCTGAATGTCCTTTTTCATTAATTTCATTAATTTCATAGATATATTAAATATTAACGATTAAACTTCATATTGCATATGAATTAAATGAATTGAAATAATATTGAAAATTATTTTAATATCAGTAATACAATATGTTTTTCTTTTTAAACTCGTTAGACAGTTTTCACCATGCTAGAAGTAGATGGGAGGGGTAAGAGGCACATTGAAGTGACCACGCTGCTTTAAAAAAAAAATGTTTCATTTTTTTCCTAATGTTTGAATCATAGATACACTTGAAAGATCTATCGTGTTATCTCTATAATATACCTAATATTCGACAAATGTTAGAAAAAAATACCTCAATTTCTTCTGTATTACTCGTAGCCATGTCACACAAACTACACGTACAATATGCTCGTTTAGTGAACTAACTGCAAGGGCATCTGTCGGCAAAATTTTTACACGAAATTTCCTTTCCCTAAGATAGAAACGTGAAATTGAGTCGGCGCACACTGAGAGATTGCCGCAACAAAATTTTAAACAAGGTAATTAGATGAAGAAACGATCATCAGTTATGACTATATTACAATATTATAAGAAAAAAAGAAAAAGAAACAATTCAGAAATACGATTCTATATCTAATTTTTTTTAACTTTTTTCTTTTTGGTATAGAGCTAATATTATTTTAATGTTGCAGGAATTTTTTTTAATGTAATGTATCATTTTATCTGATTTAACGACACCGATTGCATTTGTTTCATCTTCTACTTTCTTCTTTTTTTTTTTTACTTATACAATTGTTTTTTTCTAATATTTTTTTCTAACATTTCGATAAATATATAATCAGTTTAGTCATTTTTATTATGAAGTCCTTCCAAATAAAGTATTATACGCAAAACAAATCGTATATAAGATATTTAATCAAACTTACTAAAAATATAAAGTAATTTATAAACGAAAATAAAATTTTATTCAATATATGTTTAAGAAATCATGTATATATAGGAAAAGCAGAAACAGATTATTTCTATAATAATTATAAGAAATCATAATCATTCCGTTTGTTTAACATAAGAATGTTTGAAATAAGGATTGGTATCCCTGTATTTTAATAACCACTAGGTTGACACGAGTGGTTCTCGTTTTATCATACAATGTATTTACATTATAATTTAGGGAACGAAATTTTTCTGTAAAGATTGTCAGCAGTCCTATCTTCAGTATGAAACGTTCGGTAAAAACTTATTCTTTTATTTTTTATAATTTTACAGTAATAATAATAGTAATAATAATAGTTATAATAAATATTATTCTTAAGAAAGGTTAGTTTGACAGCGGTTCTGTGGAATATTTTTATATATTTAACAAACCGGCTTAATCTTTCAATATTGATAATATT